GCTCATTGCACAGAAGTTGCTCAAATGCATGAGATTTTCGTGTTGCAGCTCAGCAGTTCCAGATGGACACAACTCCGGGGGGATAGGGACAACTTTTTATAAGTCTTTGCTATTCTTTGCTGCATGTTGAGCGCTTCTTCTTCATTGCTGGACCACCAGGAGCAAAGGCTCCAGCTTGGAGAGAGACGGGAAAATGGTACATCAAGGTGTGCATTCCCAATCCACGGCTGCTGTCAAGTGGTGCACGTGAATCCCTGCACACTYCAAGATCAATGCAGCTCCTTCTTGAGTTGCATCAAGGCAATTGGGCACTAAAAAATCCTTAAAAATTATATCTTGCTCTCTTTGCGATGGTATGTAGAAGGATGTATTCCAAAGAATGAAGTCCACATTTCTATGAAATTCAGAAATTCGGTACGATTTTTCTACTCTGCCTAGACTTTAGATACTTTTAATACCTATAAAAGAGCTGGGTTTAGGTACTTTTAGGTACTTAGGACAGATTTCAGGGCCTTTTACAGATGAAAGTGATCTAATAATGTTGTTAGCATACTGGGTTATGCTATAATCATGTCACTACATTTCATTCTTCCAGAATGTGAATTAAAAATATAGCCCTGTGACCTATGGARAGCGTTGTGCAAACTATTGGGGCTGATGCGTCGGTTCAGGTATTTTGGTTTCATGTTTGCACAATCAGTAAAGGGAAATCTCCTCGGCCAGCCTCTTTCCTCTCCTTTTAACTGTATTCCTGGAGTAAATCGCCACGGTCAGGAGCCCGGTCAGCTCATTACTACCTTTGATGCCTTTTGAGTTGAATGGCTACAGAAATCGCTACTCTTTATGCGTAAAAAGATCACAATTGGCACCCGTGAAATTTCCAATATTGTTAAAACAACCATTAATCAGGTGATAACCTTGCCATTTATAATCATGAGCAAAGAATGAAAGGGGTGAGAAAGAAAAGAAAAAAAGAAATGAGGTGGCGCATTGGAAATGGGTCTCCTTGTTAGAATTATTCATTTGTGAATCAGTCAAGCACTGATTTCTCTGTCACAGAAAAGGTTGAATGAGAGCGGTGGATGCTCACTCCTGAAATTTATGAGACTGACATCAAATATCGTTCATACACTGCAGAAATAAAATACAACAAATTCTTCACTGACAAAGCTGCACTCTCACTATATTCTTATATTCTTCTGTGCCGGAGGAGAGCATCTCCCTGGCAATATGACCACTCAATCATGAGAAAATCACCCTATTTAATTCATTGTGGCGTACAAGCGTTGTATTCAAGATGATCATCACACAGAATGAAGTTCTCAATCATTGTTATGAAAGAGTGAGTATTTTTCTTCACGTTTTACGGAGTGATTTATTCAGCAGCTGAAGCCTCCTGCCCAGCCAACTGCTGCACCAGCAGCAGGTACCAGCTGATCCACTTATTAAGAAAGTTCTGGTTGTATCGAGTGATGAAGGAAGTACCTGAGTTGCCATGTGGAGGGCAATACTTCCACCACCRAGAGGGGAGGAATTAAACCGTGAGCCCTCCTGTGAGTGAGCAGGGCTCCTTCTCCAACAGGACATCCACATATGAAGGTCTCCCATTGCTTCCACCTATCAAGCAGAGTTTTAAAAGTGGACGGGAACACAAAGGTGCTGGGAAGTAGCTAACGGGACTTCCAGAGGGATTTTGGCCAACCTGCATCTGGAACCAGCATTATAAAGAAAGAATTATTAGTAAGGCAGTATGAGCAGACTGAAAATGACTCATGTCTGGACTTCCATAAAGAGCAAAGAAGGTGAATCCGGATGCAGAACGCAGCTCGGATTATGGACACTCGCTGTGGTCAACAGGAAGAAAAGAAGCATTGGAAGATGCAGATGTTGGATAGGCTGAACTACCCCTGCTCTTGTTCCCTGCTTATTTGAACCCCAGTTCCCTGTTCCTTAACACAGYGGGGCTGCCAATGGGATTGTCACTGACCGCCTTTATAGCCGCTACAGGATTTAGCATGACAATACAAGGACAGACTATTACAGTTTTCCCAGACATTTCTCGCCTTGGCATATCCCACCGTGAACAAAACCTGCCCAAATGCCAACGTGAGGAAGGGCAGCGTTGCCTTGCTGGCAAAAAGGGACCACTCCGGCAAGGCAGCCCGAAAAAACAGGAGCACTGGGGGCATTTCAGCCTCGGCAAGCTGCAAAATCCCATTTTTTCAGCCCAGGGACTGAGCTAAACACACGCCCGGTGACCTCTCCACTGTCAAGGTCCAAAAAGACCAAGGAGAGCTGTGGAGCTGAGCAGCAGCAACCCGCAGGAGGCTGGAGGATCTAAAGGGAACGGTTGTTCAGAGGAGAGAAAAAAGGTCACTGAAGTTCCTCCTTTATGGAACTACCAGACTTTTTTTGTGTGTGCATTAAGTTTAGGATGAGACGTAGCCCCTCCAGAGAGAAGAAACTTTCCAACAGGTGGGAAGAGTCCATAAAACATCTAGGAAATATTTTTCCCCTCTTGCTGCCAATGAGCACCTTTTGATTCTCGATTCTTGAGATTCTTCTTGAGAACAGGATTTTTATTAGGAAAGAACTCGGTCTCATGTTTTTGTACAATTTTCTTATAATGGCTTCTAATAAAGCTCGTGAATAATGTAAGAAGCGTTCGCAACTGTTTTAATTTTTTAAAAGCATTCTCTGGGCCCTTGGCGACATCCCTCTGGGGCTCATTTTCTGTGGATATTTAAATGATGGAATTTCATTAGTGCAATTATTCATGGAAATTGATTTTCAAAGAGTACATGTGAACGTTCACAGGCACTGAATTTGAGATGTGCACAGGTCAGGACTTATAAGCAAAGTGCTTGTATCCTTGGCCAATTAGGGATCGGATGCATGCGACTTATCTGGACAATTACAATTACGCTGCGCTGCTCACATTCTGAATATCTGCAATCAGACCATGAAATATGCAGTGAAAATATACTTGCCATGTTAATATATTTGAATAATTAATAACTTCCATAAAATTCTCAGTCTGTTTGAGGATGCTCAGCAGGAGAAAAAAAATCGCTTTAGTGACTAAATTATTTATAACTAAATATTTGGTCAGCTCAGAACATTTCTTGACATTCACTAGATGTCCCAGAGTTACTTCTCTATGATTAGTGAAATGTTTTCTCTGACTTGCTGGACTCCCTACATATTTCTGCCTGACAGCACAGCCAAGAATATATGTATGTATAATCCAAAGAAACAGCTTTATTAGCTGAAGCAGACAACCACCTTTCCACAAATGCCAATTACAGTTACCTGAGTAGAAGACTTTCGCAAAACAACTTTAAAGCTGCATAAAATATTAYCAAGTAGCCTGCCTGAGTCCTTGAATAGTTGGGAGAGCTTTTTGCAGTTCTCTGCAAGTCCCTAAATCATTAAGGAGGTAACCGGACATCAAGAAGCTATTTGACAAAYTAAGAGCAAAACCAGTTAATTCCAATCCACTTTTTAGTTTTCTCTAAGAAAACAGCAAAACGTGTCAGATGGCCCTGTTTCATGGTGCTATGAAGTCCAATTACCCACATAAGTGMCCCTGGATATCAAAGAGCTTCAGCACTATCTAGAGAGTGTCCAAGGCTTCTGACACTAAGGCATCGAGATCGTGAGCAGACCCTTGGTGCAGCCCCAGTGCACCAAGCCGATGAATCCTCCTGGCATGTCTGATTATTCCCAGACTACTAAGCAGAAAGCTTATTTAAAACAACAACAACAAAAAAGCAGCTACTGAAATAAAAGAAGAAACGTAAAGAAAACCACTGAGCTTTCTGAATTTCCTGCAATTCCAGTGCTAGGGCGGCGGTGCATCAAACCCAGCAAGATCCATGCTCACCATGCCCATGATGGAGGCCAGCGGTCACAGGGGCTGTGCAGGGATCTAAGCAGAGTCACCTCTCTCCTGGCACTGGTTTTTTTCAGACATAAAGCAGGAATTTTGCAGCTACCACTAAACTCAAACACAATGGGAGCAAGTCCAAGGAATAAATCTGCACAATCAGGAGACAGCGTTGGGAAGACAGGACTTGGAGAGAGGTACTGATCAGCACTCAACTGTCATATTTGACATGTCTGAGAGCATCCCAAGTTCTGAGGGTAAAACCAAAGGTTTAGTTAGCATTACGTTTTCCTGCGATGAGAGGTCAGTCTTACTTCCTCCCTGGCCTGTGTTGTTATTGCTATGATGTGAAACCTGGGAATGGGACAAGTGGGGATTACCATGGCTGTCCATCAGAGGAAAAGCACACAGTGGCACAGTATCTACTCTCACAGATCTTTTGCCAAAGATCACCATTTTCTCAGAGCTAAGAGGCTGGAATCCACAGTAGATCKACATCCTCCAAAGAGTTTAAACAGTTTCAGTACATTTAGCAACCTCGCCAGTTTTAACTTCAGAAGAATTAGGAAATCCACCACCAGCTCATCCAGCAAGCCTGAGGAATCATCAGCGGTGTTAGAGGATACGGAGAAACAGGTAGAAGGAGAGACTCTTGAGGCAACAGGTACCGCTTGGAGAAGACACCCGGCCTAGGCAGCTGCACAGGTGCTGCTCGAGTGGGTATAACTTGCTGCAGGAACAAACAACACTGAATGAAACATGATGTTTCCACGTACCTGGTACTGGAAAGGCCTCCACTGCGTTTGTCCGTTGGGTACAAGGACCGGAGCAGGCGCAGTCTGAGCTTAACCTCRATGTCAGCGAGAGCTCAGCTGGTAGCAGCCCCACGTTCAACATGGTCTAACGCCACCACCAAGACATCAATCACAACGGGGACTGATACCTACCGCAACTTGGCCCTGTGCTCCCATAGCCCGAGCCCACAGCGTGCAGATAGCCCCATCCAACAGCTTGGAGAGGAGGCTCTAGAGATTGCTAAAAATAAACCTACAAACCAGCGGAGTCTCAGGTGAACCTCTTGACGCTACCACAAGCTGAAGCACTTACTCACCCAAATTTTCAATGGAATAGTAGCGCTGCTTGCTGTCCACCCGCACGGTCTCAGCGTAGGGGCTGCCTACGCCGTAGCCGATGATGTAGCCGCGCACCACGATGTTGGGGTTCAGCGGGGGAGTCCAACTCATCACGATGCTGGTAGTCAACGGCCTGACATGGAGAGAGCTGGGCTGATCAGGGACCTGGGATTCTGGGATGCAAAGAGAAAACAAATACCAATTAATATCCTCCTCATTCAACTTTACTATTTATAAGGTTTCAGTTAGATTATAACACTTGTACAAAGAAACAACGAGGTGCCCCAGAGTTACATGCAGAGCTCACATGCAATTTATTTTCTGAGCTACGTTCTTCCCCTCTGAGAGCACSGACTTTCCTCTGCCAGTTTTACACAAAGTGTCTCTTAGTGCTCTCCACCTTTAGCATAGGAGCACCAGAGAGCTGAAATTATACAGGAAAACAAAAGATGATTTTTTGAGGTTTGCTAGAGACACCTTTTATCTTAATTTGCAGATGAGGTATAATATTTAATGAAAAAGGTTGACTTTGTTCGAGATACACTAGGATCTTCGGGCAATAACCTCTCTTTCCCAGCAAAGCAGCAAGCAAATTTTAACTCCTGGACTTCTCTCGACTTAGAATCTGCTTTAAATAATTCACAGCACTGAGAAATGTAATAACAGAATGAGACCTTTCGTGTACAGGTACTCTCAGGTAAAATTCATTAAGTTCTAATTAATCACAGGAGAACTATTTGGTAGACTTTGTCTTCTATCAGCCTACTTCCACTTCAAAGACAGATGAGGAAATGCCTTTTGTTGGAGTTGACTCGGTAACTACCATATCACAAGTCTCTTCAGTGGAGCTGCACAGTAGCTTGTCTTTTTGAGAGCAGAAAGAGACAAGTCACTATTTTTCCCCAATGAAAAGACTTGCAATATAATAGATGAAAGCTTCCAGGGAGGGCAACAAGGACAGGACGGAGGAGGCAGCAACAGTATAAAGTGACGTGAACTCCAACAAAAGACTCTGCGGTTGTGAAGCATTCCCACCGTAAACCTTGGAAAAGGCAATAAAAAGAGGAATCGGCACTTTCCAGTGACCAAATATACGTCCTTGGTATTTTACGTGCTTTCAGATGCATCGTTATGCGCACAGCAGAGTGCCGTGAGATCCCGTGGGCTCTTCAGAGGCGGCACAGCACCAGCACGGAGCACCCAGCAAGTTTAGGAGTCCTTTGCATCCAGCTGCTCCCAGCTCCCTGGGTCTCATTTAAAGGCTGAGGAGCGTTCCCTGCAACGTGGCTACTCACACACCGAAGGCACAGCCTGCACGTCACGCACAGCTGCCACTCACCCCCGCGCCACGCTCAAACTCGCCTTCCAGGCAGAAACTAAAGTTACTGCAATAGCTACTGCTGAAGCGTGCTGTTGTTAAAACAAAACTACGTGTTTCTTACAGAACTCAGAGATAAAGCGGTGATTTACAGTCTTGAAATAAGTTAGACGACGTAGCAAGACTGAAATTCCTTGAACATCCTAAAAGTAGCAATTGTCAGGCTGCAAAATGATATCAGAATATTCAGAGGCCCTTCTGGCTTCAGACGATAATTTTTACATCTCACACAACACAGATTTCAAATGCAGTACAAACACCTCCAGGCAGCTGGTGGATTACAACCATTGTATTCAAACAGTTCGTATTATTTATTGCAGACAATTCAGACAAGCGATTCATGCACTTCGGAGCAACATCACCATTTCTCGATTCAAAAAAGCAGAGAGCAGTTTAACTTCTTGCTCCCTTCTTGTGAAGCAGGCCTCTAAAACAAAGCCGGATGAACAACATTTTTAAATGTATTTTTCAAATGTTTGGCAAACACTGGGTGGGTTCTTGGCCATTTGGGGAAGAAGAAGCGTTTGTCGAGACAGGAGGGAGATGAGAAATCCCGTGAGATCCCGCATATTTCTGGCTCTTCTCAGCTTCCTGTTTTCTCTTTGTTAAGTACTTTTAATTTCATTTTAATTAACTTTATTTTCCAATAGTCTCTGGAAAAAAAAAATGTTTTTCTTACTCTGAAATAGCTCTAAATTTTTGTGCTGTGCATTTAGCAYCCCAAAACGCAAAGCCAAACTCACCACTATACTGGGGACCCTGCCACCTCCCACCAAGTCATTGTGTCGGTCACCCAGGGCCACTCCGTGGTCAGGACCACTTACGGGTCCCCAATTCCACTGACAAGCTGGAGAAATCCTTCACACTTGGGTCACTTGAGCAATTTCCCAAGCCATTCACACAGGGGCATTGCACAAAGTAAGGGCCATTTTCACTCATGCAATTTTGCTCCCGTATTTCTCCAATCGCTTTTCAGTTTAAATTACAAGGCGATGGCAGTCTAGCCTGTCACGCTCTTAAAGCACTAATTTAGAGCTGAAGTTAAACTATATCACTATTGAATACATCTTCCATCTGCTCCAGGCAGTAATCAGAAACCAAGCACCCTAAACCCATTTTCCTGCAGGAAGAWCCCTCCACCAGCTTGATCAGCAATTCTCTTGCATCCTTGCTCAAGCTGTTTAAATGCAACCCCTTTGGGGAAAAGCACTGCTTTCTTTCTTGCTTTCTTTCTTTTTGAGGTTTAAAATAAATATTTAAAAACTTCCCAGCTGCCTGCAAAGGCCCTCGCGCTTTCCAGGGAACCTTGCGGAAGCAGCTCTGTTTGGATTTCTAATCACTCGAACAAAACACGCTAATTAAAATGAATATCCATGGGGAGCAGTTCTCCAGGATGCTGTTTGTCTTCCCATTGCTCAYGACGAGCAGGCTCCCAGCAAAAGCAAGGGGAGCTGCACTGGCAGGAATTGCAGCCAGCAATCCRGGCAAGAGCACTCGTCCCGCTCCGCTCACACTTGCAGGGCTCTCTACAACTCCCAGCAAGGAGCAGATTTCTCCCCAGGGCTTATCAGAGTATCATGTTGGCAAATRCATATCTATTATGCAGTGCCGTGCACGAGACGGTGCGGCGTTCCGACGACAATTCATTGCTATTGTTAATGCATGTAAATACAATACACGGACAAAATAAAATGCCYGGGCTTTAATTCATTCCTGTGCGCCTAGTCCTCCTGCGTGTCTTCTGTGATTGCTCCATTAGCATCTTTGCGTGAACACAGGGAGTTGGGAACAAAGCCTTCAAAGGCCTGCGCGCGGCGTACGAAATGCAAATACAAGCAACGTGTAGCAACACGCTCCTTGCTTTCCGCACGCCGAGGTGTGCTCCCGACCTGCATTCTGCTCCTGACAGTGACGAGCCAGCTGCCTGCTCCTTCACCGCAGCATTTCTGCGGCTGCTGTCTATCCCATTTGTAACTGGAAAGATAACATCGCGCAGCACGGCACCTTGCCATCAGCCGCGATGGGTGCAATGCTAAAGCTGTCGTCTTTTATTTAAAACACCGACGGGAAACTACCTGTATTGGTTGTCTTATTGTGCATGACACGTAACGCGAGCAGTCACGGCTGCTCTAGTGAAAAATGCATTGGGACGTAACGGAAGGGACATGAAATGGGCAGGAATTGGTTGCGAGGGTTGCTTCTGAGATCATAAGGCAACCCCTTCAGCCAAAAGAAGCCAACATCAAGCCCCGTGGCGCATTTAAACTAATTATTTATTTATTCTTTCATCCAGCTTGCCTTTGATCCTTTCTAGGTGCCTCATTTAGTTTTAGAAATTATAGCCATTTTCATCAGTGTTCTCTTATTTTCTATTCATCTCCTTCCTACTACAGACTTGCTTCTCATCAGTTGTATACAGCCCTGCCATGACTTCCATCTGTCACGTTCTTTGTTCCATTTTATTTGTACTCTAGTTAATTCTTTTTTGGTAGACTTTTTCATTACTCTCTTCCATTCTTCCTCAGATATCTCAGCCATTTTATCTAACCCTTTCATTTCAGTGTGTTTTTTTTTCTCTCCCCTTTTGTGTCAGCATCTGCACAGGTTTACAAAGCCCACGGCTTCCCAGTACCTGAATCCCATCATCTTTTACTGATTATTCAGCTTTGTTGCCAACCTAAATTTCTAACATCTGCCAAAAAAAATGCTAGAAAATGGCTGTTGAGATGTTTGGGTTATTTATTTAGTGCATTGCTAGGATTGTTGGTATTATTTCAGTGTTTCTTCAATTGATTATGATTTATGAAGTTACAAGTTCACATCACGGGATTATTTCAAGCAGTCGTGACACTTAGGAACTAGATTGTGGCAATGAATTATTAGAGCAAAACACCCAGGTCCAACACCCCGCTCCTGGTGATAATGGGGAAACCCAACAGAAGGCAGGTGGGATTCAGAGGTGTAAGAAAACAGCTCCTGGATGGTTACTGCCAAGGTGGGACTGTTGCTTAGCTTAGCAATCGCAACTGAGGCTGTAAAGAAGAGTGAGGCTAAAAATAAGGAATCCTGAAAGCTTTTGAACAGATAAAAAGGAAACTAATAATAAAAAAGGAGGCTTTTTGCTGTTTCCCTTCACCTGCGCAGAAAGCCAAGCAACCTGGGACCACGAAACACTTTCTCCCAGCAGCCACTATTATCCTTATCCCGGGAATCAGCCCTGGGGCTGGCAGCACGTGGCGCAAGCAGTGGCACCTGCCAGCTCCCTGCTAGAGGGCTTGGGGCGAGAGCAGCTTCGAGAGAGATGCATTTACCATCGAGGTCGTTCTCCGGCGTCTCTGCCGTGTACCAGTCCGAGGGGGGGCCGGTCCCGTTCACGGTCATGGCAGCGACCTGGAAGCTGTACTGGCTTCCTTTGTCAAGCCCTAATGACAAATAAATTGAGAAGATCATATAGAAAGAAGAATAAAATAAATAAAAAAAAACCTCATAGGATAGGTACTATGTGAGCAGCTGCAGAACGGTTTGCTTTCCAGGGCTCTAAGGAAACATGAAATCCTGCCAGTATTACAGGATGAGCACAAATTCAGAAACAGACACTTTCCTCAGTGGCCGAAGTTACCAGAAAACCATTTCTGTGGCATTCCTGAACATGCCACAGAACTCCTCAGTCTCCAACTCAGGAATATATGTTTATCTTCTTACTTAGCCTATACGGACCACAAAGCATAGGGGTAAGAAAAAAAAAAAAAAGGCACTCTATTTAACTGCAAACTCTGTGAAAATTTGCAATGCTCTCCGGAGAACAACGTTTACAATTAAAAACATTTAGCTGCCATGGAAGCCTCCTGTAAAATCGCAAGCTGCCCGTTACAACCCTCCCTGTATCCCCGAGCTCCGATGCTGCTGCAGATGTTCCTAGCGTGGGGTGAGGCACCTGCCTGCCAAGGAGAAGACGGCAACAGTGCCAACACGTTAATATTTCAAAGGCCATGTGCAGCATCTCCCCGCAGAAACCACTTTTCTTTCTGCAGCTATCAGTTATCTCCCTGGGCATGCAGACGTCTGTGGTAATGGGGACCATTGGCCCAGGTAACACTGTGAAGTTGAGAGTTCTGTATTTCATGACCTCCTCATGCAAGAAGTCTTGATTTTCATTAATTAAGAAATAWTAAGTAGTATTGCTTTTCCCTCCAAAACAGTAAAGTTATTCTTTCTGAAACACACAGTTCAGGATTGCTCCCAGTTACACTGCTCTCTGCACAAGTAAATACAAGGCAGGCGAGCCCAGGACACTGGAGGCAATAACGGAGCCAGCCTGAATTCAATGGCAAAGCTGCCATCAACTTCCACAAAGTTCAATTTTCACCCTTGGTACTCTGCTGCTGTCTTAGTTCTGTCTAGGGCAACTTCTTCTGCAAGAACCCAACTGAAATACAGTTTTCACCTATTTGTATTCACTGTTATAATACTGATCTGCTGACTCGTTCACTGCAAACACATATTGGCTGTGATCTGCTACTGCACTTTTTATTTTGGGAGGAGATATTTTTCCCATATAAAATCTTGGAAAAGCAACAGGAGAAATGGATATTTTTGCAGGAAAGGGGAAATTGGAAATTGCTGAGCAAGTGTGCTAAGAAACTATCTGTGCAAGTGTGCTAAGAAACTATACCAAACATAAACTTGGCTTCAAACTCATTAATGAAAATGATAAAATCTAGGGGCAAAGATACAGTAAAAGCAGGGGAAAAAAAAAAAAAAGATTGTCTTTGCAAAACACAATAAAACGCTACCTGCCAGCAAAGAAATCGATATTCCCTTGAAGTGAAAGTATATTTTATTCCCAAAGCATTTAATTCATCAAAACCTTGCAAGGCTGTACCAAGTGAACACTGACCTGTGAACAAGTACCAGAGGTTGTTCGGCTCCAGTGTTTCAATCTCGCCCCGGCGGGTAGTCTTTCTATGTCGGATTTTATAGCCTGTAATAAATCCATTTTGTGTACCTGGTGGTGGAGGCAACCAGCTGACTTTGATGCTCTGCAACAGAGGAGATATTAGCGTCGAAATCTGTGCACAGAAATGACAGAGCTGAAGCACATCAAAGGAACGGAGCTATCAAGGCAAGAAGAGCTTTGTTAGTAACAACACAGACTGGAGCTGGCCACGCTTTCCAGCACGGGTGCAGCTCAGGTCCGATGGCACGAAGCACGCGGTGCGTTCAGGGCCCTTCGCAGGGATTTCTCCTCTCAGCCGGCCCGCGAACACCACCTGATAAACGTCAGCCCAGGGGCAAGCAGCCACCACGGCTCTCTCCACCTTGCAGCCCAAAGTGCCCGGGTCTCCTCCTCCTGACTGCAGGATAAAAATAGCCAGCTGTCTGGTTCTAATCATTTTAATTCCACATTATATTCTCAGCATTTTAATTAACCTATTTTAATCCCACACATCGTGGCAGAGATGTTCCTACACCTTCACTGTAACGGCATAAGCCAAGTCTCTGACTAGGAGACTTCCTGCTTATTCAAAGACATAATAAAATTTTAGCCGATCCAGGAATATGGTATAGATAGATCCATAGCTCCTTTTTTTTTTCCCCCCTCCTCAATATTGCGTGTCTCACCTAAGTTGTATAAAGGATCTTATTTCAACCTAAGCCATAACAAAACCGGTCCTTTGGGACGTCTCTTGATTCCCACCTCCTCTGCTCTATTCCCACCACTTCTTGGCTCCAAGGCCCGCAGGAGCTTTGTCCCTGCAGACCCAACCAAYGTATCCGACCCCTCCGGCCACTTTTCCTTGTGCCTTTCCTTCTGCCGCTGCACCCCTGGAGAAGGTCCTTGGGCAGGACTGGTGCCGGGTGGCCACGAGGCCRTGCCCCACACGTAGTCCCAGCCTTTGCTCGCTGCCTCAGCGGCTGCGGCTCTTAGCGGCATCTTCTCCTTTGCACTGCAGCAACCTCATTGCTTTAGGAGCCTTTTGTGAGGGAACTCCTCACGAGAGCCTTGTGGAAACCAAGTCAATGACATCAACTGGATCTCCTTGCCATGCGCTCAGGGATGGTTTCCAAGGACTGTAACAGGAATGGCAAGCATGATTTTTCCCCACAAAACCTGCATCAATTCTTTCCCATCATATCCTGTTCATCCACAGGTCTACTCATTCTACTCTTTCTTACAGTTTCTACTAAATTTGACCAGGAAAAACACCACATTTACCAGACTGATAAGGGAGCTGGTATCGTGCAACATTAATATTTCTTTCCTARGCCAATCTGAGCATTGCTTGTTCCTTATAAGTCTCCAATTCTTTGGGAGTCTTAACTCAGCAGAACATCAGGTATTCAGGATATTAAAGGTATCTTACGGAGCAACACCTAACAAGTGTATCTATATAGTCTCTTATAGCACCGTGCTACAAATTTTTGGACAAAGAAAATTTGATCCACTGCATCACAGTGGATAGTTTTTGACGAAATACAATTTATTACCATTACTGAGTTGCTGAGTCCCTACATAAATATGTTATAGCACATTTCAAATTAATTACTGCAATAGCAAAATCAATTTTCATGCATAGGTTGCCTAGTGATTTATTGTTACAATCAATTATGCATTTCAAAATCAATACTTCMAGTTTTCAATGCTGAGCAAAATAATGTCGACTTTTCTGCATTAGGGCAGAACAAACTCCATTTTTCAATCCGAGGAGTGATTGTATTAAAAACAGATTTGRTCACTTTGCATATTGAAATTGCCTACATATAAAATGTTTATGGGAGAACGCAAACGCCCAGAGAGCGGCTTTAAAACATATTTGTGTTGACAGCTCTGAGGACCCGTCTAGGAGCAACTTGCTGTCGGACACCGAGGTGCTACCAGCCAACTTCTGCACAGCGTTGTGCTCAGCTCGAGTGCAAGGCAGGTGGCAACGGGGCCCATAAAGCTACTCATATCAACCCAGGGGCACCCCAAGAAGCTGAGTAAAAATACATATATATATATGGGGAAGAAATGGCAGAGAAATGGAGGGCTGGGAAGGCCACCATGGACCTGCCACCCAGCTTGTGCKGACAACTGCTTGCAGGAATGATTTGTAGATGGGGAAATCCCACAGAACGGGACAAATTCACRTGGGTCTCAAGCTGGAAAAGGCGTTAACGTCCCAAATGGGACACTGACCAGCTTTCCAGGGAATGCAGCAGGCAAAGGCAGTGTCCCAGTACAGCAGAGGGACACAGCAGGGTCCAGSCACCTGCAACATCAACACGCTCGTTGCTTTTAAGGAGCAAGGAACTAGTGCAGGTCTTACAAGGAACCGCACAGGGCCTGTTAGCCTTTTTTTAAAAAACAAAYATCCCTCATTTGGAGCTGTGCTCCACCAGCAAAGCCCCGTGCAGCCTCCCATTTAAACTGGGAGGGAACTCCTAAGAACGACCTCCCTTTGATTTTCTGACTGCAAGGACAGCAGCTCAGGGTAGGTCCTGCCAGGTTGTCTCCACAAGTAACTAATTTCCCTGTTTAAGTATTAAGCCTTATTTCTAGCCCAAATTAGACACTTTTTTCCCCCTCCCTSTTCAAGGCTTCCAGCAGAAGCATCAAAGCACTTGGAGCCCTGASCCCTCCAAGCATTGCAGGTTTAGGGAGACCCCGACCCTGAGGCAAGGGTTGGGGTCCATATCCTGGCACACTATCCAGGAGCAATGGAGTGGAGCCCAAGCCCCACGTAGAATAAATGAGGTTGTCTGTATGACCAGGGGAAAAGCAGGTTCTTTACACATCTACCTAAAGCCCTCACAAAYTAAACCATGGTCATCGCGGCTCCCTCGCACCTCAACCTGGTCTCCATGGACACCGTGACGATGCTTTTCATCAATAGTACTTAACATGCGACCCTTGGCTCCGGGAAAATCAATGGCTGAGGTTCTGGGGCCTCTCGTCCTTTCCTGTGCTCGAGGGAGAGCACAGTAACTGCTGCCCTGATCCTTCACGTCTTATCCAGGGGGAAAATATTTCATTGCAATGAAGTATTTCATTGCAATTGTGCTAGGACTTCTAAGGAAACCATAAAATGAAGTTGACTTTCAAGAGGATTTGATGAACCTTTTAACCCTCCTTGAAATGTAAAGTGGAAGAGTATYGTGAGGCGTTGCTTGCCACCAGTGYTTAGCCAAAATGACTTTTCTTTCATGGGAGTGCAGCCCTGCCTTGCACCCCAAGAAGGTTGTCCATGGGAGCAGGCAAGCCAGCACCGTGTTGCCCTCACGTGGAGTTGTGGATTTGATGGGTGTATCAAGAGGGCCCTTATGAGGGAGAGGTCTCCACCCTACTGAGGGAGAAGAAGAAGAGAACATCTACATTACACCAGCCTTCTAAAGGCTGGTGCCCAAAACCCACCTTTACGGACTGCAAACTAAGTGGCACAAGCCCTGTGCCTTCAGCCCTATCTGATAAACTTCTCCAGTGGGAACAGATATTGACCCAACCGTTCTAACTACATCCAAGCTGAATCCTTACAGTCTTTTCCATAGTTTCCAAAAGCACAGGAATGTTTTATTCTCATATTTTCAGGATTAACCAGGTTAGAARCCCAATTCGAGTAAGGAAGAACTGAAATATCATCTCTGCACTGATCAGAAATGGAGAATGCCCAAAAACTGCTCATCAAGTCCAAGTTTATGCATGTCCTGCAAAGACTATGTGGAAATTTATTTTAGCCATTAGTTCTCTAGGTACACATGCTCATGAAGAGCTATTTGCCCAGATTACTCTCAAATTGGCTTTTGAGATACCTGCAGCTCTGGTGACACATATTAAATATTATTAACAACAACTCTGAAGGATCAGTGGCTTCCACACACCCAGAAAGCAACCGCTCTCCTTCCAAGGTTGCGAGCTGGAACAGGACTGCGGGCTCACAGAAATTAAAAATTAAATAGCTGCCTAAATAACAAGAGCCCRCCAGAAGCAAGGCTTGGAGCCAGAGAAACGCGGCCCCGCGTGGGAGGCCGTTCCAAACACTTACGGGTCCCTGGTGCTCTCCACGGAAACCTTCCGGATTCGCTCCACTCATCCTGCACGCTCAATGGGAAGCGGGAGCTGGCTGCGTGCACCGGGCAAGCACCAGCCCCGGCGGCGCTCCTAACCATCTCCAGGGGAAAATCCATGTGCCGTTTGTGGAGGAAGACGGGGCAAGCTTGCCACACGTTCCCAAATGTTAGATTGTGCCAGGAAATGAGTCACCGTGAGGTGAAGCAGCGTCAGGAGGGTGTTTCGATGCTGCTAGGTAGCTCCTGCAGGAGGGGATGCCCTCCCAAGAAACGCTCTTTCCACATGCTCCACAAGCAATGCTCCGYAGGCTCTGCACGGCGTGCACAAGCTCACTCTGCAGCCGTTATGTGCAAAATTGGATCTATTTCCAAACCACACATATGGAGCATCTGTACGATGCTTTCTTTAACATGAGCCAGTTTTGAAAGGCTTCTAGTCATCTGCTTTCTGTACTCTGAGGGCAAACTAGGACAYTATTGGCAGAGACCATCTCAACCACCACCATCTAATGCAATGTTGCATATTTTCCTCCTAACCATGATGAAAACCTCTCATTTGTGCAACTACCCGGCCCAACATGACACTACATCAAGCCACCCTGAGTCAGACCCACTCTCACCCCACTATGTTTATTCTTAAATAGAGACAAAGCTTAAAAAAAAAAAAAAAAAAAAAAAAACAAGCAAAAAATGTGAAGGGTGTTAGACACACAGACCTTCCTGGCCAGGGTCCTCCTCAGAGTGCTTCTCTTCTGAAACAAGCCACCAAACAGCTCTTAGACTGGAACTGCATCATCAAATATTGAAAGTATTTGACAACCAGAGTCTCAAATAAATAAAGCCATGATACACCAGTGGAAACTCCAGGACAAAAACACCTCTGAGCACCTAGAGTAACTCAAAGGGAAGATGCAACATACCCAAACACAGAGCTTGGAAGCACCAGGAACCTAAAGCAAGTCTGCTCACAGCACCAAAATACTTAAGAACA